ATTAAGTTAGGCTCAAAACAGTCATCAAACACAGCCTTAAGGTATTCAAAAACTGAGTGAAAGCATTTTGAAGATTCTTGAAAAATATTCTTCTCTGAAGTTGATTTCAGTAGCATCACACCAGAAATGAATTTTGTTCATTGCTTTCCTACCTACTGACAAAGTACTAAACATCCCCACAGAGGATGCAATAAATAAATAATGGCATCACTATTACAAGTAAGCAAGGTACATGGAAATGGAAAAAAAAAAAAAGCAATAACAGTGGTATTTTAACCCCCTAAAAATTCCCTAATGAGCCACATGGAAAAAAAAGATGTACAGTGTTTGCACTGCATTGAGAATAAGTCCATACACTTATTCTTCTTTAAAAGACTTCAGCAATTTGAAAAAGGTTTCCTTACTCTTAAGAAAAAAAAATTAATTCTTTCACATGGCAGATGCCTTGAAAATGCAGCTGCTATATTTGCATTTGCAAATAACGTAGTGTGCGATCGCTGCCTCCAGCCCTTCTGCAAACATACCTAATAAACTAGCATTTCTGTTAATACTTTTCTTCTCAGTTTGAACTTAACTATTATTTTAGTTATCGGGTCCAAATTACTACAAACCAAACTGGAAGAAGAATTGTACTCACCTATTCATGAACTTGTACCGGCGGTGCAGGTAATAGATTTTTCTCCTGGAAGAACAGCAAAAATGAAGCCAGTCGAGAAGAAAACCCATCGTCAGTTACAGTATGAACTAGCAAGGAAGGAAAGGAGATTGAAGATAGAAGCCTGTAAGAGGTGGAGGAAGAGACTAAAAGAGAGATTAACAGAACTGTCACAGGAAGCCACACAAATTCTGGGGGCATTTGAATTGCAGTGAGGTTTTCCCAGTGTCTTCTCTTTTTCTACTTGGCACATGTGGAAGATAGGACCCAAAGACATTTCTATTTCTAAGTCCCTAAACTGTTGCAGGACTTCTATAGGACCAGCTGCAATTATGGAAAAATTAATCTCTATGTATTTCACATCTACTAGTGATTTATGAACACTGTGCTTGATAAAACACAAATGGAAAGTGGTACCTGATGCTGCAATATGCATAACACATGCAGTGCAACCTGGGACTAATGTTTGCTGCTGGGTAACACCCCTTGAAACAGGTGAAAATATGAACTGCAAAAGCAAATAAAAACGTGCTCGGCATCCACTGCAGGATGAGCGCAATAAGCTGTGCGGGAGTGCACGTGGGAAACCAGTGAGTGGACAAGGGTACGCGAGCAGACGCGTGCTGACGACACGCTGTTGCCTGCTCCCTGACGAGCCTCGCAGAGCTCATGTCGCCCAGGGCAGGGGGAACATCCCTCTAACCACCCCACGTCAGTCCACAGCGGGATGTCCACCTCCTGTCCCCCTCTGCCACCACAACTGCCAGAGTCTGATCCATCGCCTTCAGCAGGGGGAGCACATCTTGGAGAGAGTTAAGACAATCTAAGGGCAGTTATGTGTGGGTTTGGGACTGCACTGCAAAATTTAGGTGCCTGACAAAACTCCAGTTTCCTGGTCTGGGGTCTGACTTTGTCATCCACTGGAGGTTGTTGTTAAATCAAGATGGTTTCTATGTATTCTGAATGTTGATCTCTACCACTTCCGGAAAACAAAGGGTTCACACCACAAGTCTCATTTGTGTATATTTAATATGTGGTAGGAATGCTGTTATTGCATTCAAAGCAATGATGATAGGGAACTTTCTAAAATAAGACAGCACTGATGCTCTAAACTATAGAAAAAAAACAGGTTACTATTCTAGGCTAATTTTCAGAACTTAAAATTTAAATAACATGATATTTTAACAGTTCTTAGTGTCCATATTGTGCTGGTGAAGTGAAATTTTCCAAAGAATTCCATGTTGGTCAAAGTCTCCTTTGGCCAGCTCCTCCACAAGGTAGTGTTATTTCTCTAGCTCCATTCAGCACTCATTCTTTTCTGAAGAGGCATCTGAGGCTATGAAGGAAGGAAGAAATAAGGAATTGAAAACCCCTATTACAATATTTGGGCAAACATCAAGCACGGAGAATTTCAGATGAATATTTAAGGAAAAATACTTTAGAAAATTAAAAGCATGTAAAACCAGAAGAGAAGGAACAATTCAGCAATCTCCAGGCATAGTATGTGGCAAAATCTACAGTGATGACATGGAGATCTTCTGTGAAAACTCAGTTTAAAACTCACTTATACTTCCAAGATAGTTGTATTTGTGGGTATTTTACTAAATAACCATTAAGTGATAGCTCAGAATGTCTTGGATAAACATTAATTTATGACAACAGAGACTTCCTAGACATTTTCAGTTGGCAAAAGCACATAGTTTGCTCTCCAAAAATACTGGTACACTAATCAGAAAAATCCTCTTCAATGTAATTAGAAGACTGATCATGTATTTCAGTCTTTGATGGCTATTTCTTAAAGCATGAGGAAAATAGTTACTCAGAAATACTCACATTTTTCCTTTATGCTGGCCAAAATCTAAAAGAATAGTTTAATATGCTTCCCACTTTTATCCCATCTTTTCACTACAGATTCCAGATTTGCAAGAAAACTTTATCTTTTTTGCATAAACTTGCAACTCAAAATTCAAAATCTGTGTGCAAGATCTGAACAAAAGGAAAAGCAAACACTAGGGACGTTTTTCAGCTACCATTTTAAGACTTAACGCACCAAGGCTGAAGGCCTTGCACCTACTCTCTGTTCCCTGAGAACTTCAAAAACTCAGCCTGTTACAAACATATTTTCCTTCTTGAAAAAAGTCTTATGTTCATGAAGGGTCTAACATGCCCCAGAGTACCAGCCGAGCGTCCACGTGGTCATGGGACTAACACCGTCCTGGGCACTTTCTGGCTAAACCGATTTTGGCACGAGTGTGTGACGACTGCAAATGGAAAAGGACGCCACCCAAGAAGAAAGAGGGGACTGTGGCTTGTTATTTCAGACTACAGGATGATGTATCTGTTGAGGGCAACGTGATTTCCACATGTAACTCCCCGGCTCTTCTTACCACAGAAGAAAAATGGAGATAAATTATCATAGCATTATTGTAGATGGCAATTTTTCATTTCTGCAGCCCAAGAATTTCATTCTTTTTAAATCTGCGTTTCCAGTTATTCAATACTTGCACTCCACAACCAAGGATTAAAAACATATACTAAAGACATTATGGAAATACTCTGCTTACCAACATGTCCTGAAATTGTCGGAACAATTAAAAAACTTGCATGCAATTCAATAGATGATGATTGAAAAAGTCATTATAGTTCAAAATGCCCCTAGTGAAGGAGAATTTGACAAACAGCCAACCAGCTGGAACATGATACAGGAATCCAGTCAGAGCAAGCACCGATTGGGGGAAGGAGAGCAACTCAGCCAGCCTTATATCAGCTCCACACAAAAGGAATGGGAGACTAAACAGAAAGCCAGAGAAATGTCAGGTCAGCTGGGGAGTAGAGCTTAAAAGTATACAGCGATATAAAGATAGTGCTAAACAACAGTGGGAATGTTACTGAACTTAAACTAGTATTTAATAAAAAAAAAAAAAATTAGCTTTCCAGATCAAACATGAACAAGGCAGAAGAAAGAATGAAAAAGACTCATTCTTGTTCACATATGACAATTCTCCTTCTAGCCACCTTAAAACCTTTCTTATGTGCAATGATTTTAAGGTAAATTAACCATTACTATAATTACTAATAAAAATATCAATCCAGACATTCCAGATTCTTCATTTTCATTATCATTGATCTACTCCTGAACTAATTTGCACATATGATTCCTCTTGCAATGCACAATAACTGGCCCATCATTTTGCTCAAGTGTCCGAAGACTGTAGTCCAAATCTGACGTCTACTTAGGGCACAGCCGCTTACCAGAGATAACCCTGGCTGTTGTCTCCCATTAGAAGTAGACATCTAACGAAATTTCCCTGCAGATTTGTGCGTGTTTTTGTTTTTGGCTGTATTAGGAAAGACACTGCTTGTGTCAGAGAAGGTCTATTTTATACAGTCCGATCGCAGTAAGTAAATCCAATCCCTGAAAAACAGTTCACTCAAAGTGAAGCATTTAAGACCATTAACTAAACCTGGCCTCTCCCTGAACAGAATTATAGTCCAGATTTTTAGCCTTTGAGCTGACTGTAATTTACTCTGTATCAGATTGAGAGTTAACACCTTAGTCAGTGCTGTCTATTCTTTGTGATTTCCCTCGTGGGTAGTCAATGATTCTTCTCAATATTGCAAAAATTACAATTACCCATAAAGAACTCCTTTTCTCTCTAAAACTTGATGGCCCTGGAAATTCAACATGAGATCTGAAAGTCAAGCTGTTTGTGTCTTTCCTGTTTTGTGTTTTGCAAGCCAATAAATGCCTCCAGTAGTCAAATCATTTCTCTAGTGACGTTGGTGAAACGCTCATATGCTTGCACAAGCGTAGCTACTTGACACTGGCATTTTGCAAGCAGTTTTGCTTCTGTAAAAGGCAGGGAAATAGGAAAAAAACATTTTCTTCTCTTTTAGAGGTCTGTTTGTTGTATAGTCATAACTAGGAATGAAATGCAGTATCAATTTATTTCAGTCATCGATGTAAGGAGGAGTAACTTTGATTAGACCAATAATATTCTCATCTGTGCTGTTTTTGTACCTCTTTATCTGTCAAAGAACAACTGCAGTTCTGACACAAGAGAGAATTAGCTAGTTGACTGCTTTAAGGATACAAGTGAAATTCCAGTGAATCAAAAGGAAACTTTCCATTGATTTCTTTTGCCTTTGGGATGGACCCTTAATTATTAGAAACGCAAACACAACTTATGCTCTCTTAGGACTTTCTATCTCTCCCTCTGTGTGGCAAAGAACTAACTTGAAGGCACTAGTCTTTAAAGCTTGAACTAAGAATTGGATGTTTTTCCTAGGTGAACACAGTAGGAGAAGTTTTCACCTTGCAATTAAGACATAATAAAATACTCACTGATGAATCCTTTGTTGGCTGAATGGGGCAGTGTAGCAGTCATTCTCCTCCAGGTCTGGCAGTGTCTCCTTGTCCAGTTTCATTGGCTTTCTAGGTAACCATCCTCGAAACCTGCTTATTTGTTTCTCGATCCTGCAATACATGAAAAGCGTGATCAGTTGAGATAGTGAGAAATGTCTTTTTTCTATTACATTGCAGAGCAATTACAAAAAACGTATGCAGGCAAACTAGGCCACTTAATATTTATATTTACAACTGCAAAAAAGAAAAGTCTTTCACGTTTTTGAGTCAGACCAAATTATATGTGCTGAAGTTGATTACTAATCAAGCTGGATAATTAATCCAGCTTTTGATGGAGAAGCATCTTATTTTGTCTTAATAGAAAAGCAATGCTGGCAATACATGGTGCTATAAATCTTATTAAAACTCGATAAGCTCTTGGCAACTATCTAAACTTTTACTTCTCAGCTTTTCAGTTATTCTAATCTAAATTTCAGGCTTAATTGGCTCATTACACTTTGGACGTATAAACATTAGAACAGCACAGACTATGACAGAGAGCTTTGGCAGCTGAACTGCAACAAGCTGCATCGCTTTACTGTTCTCTGCACACATTTTTACCTCACAACGGATGCTATAAAAATAAGCTACTTTGTTCATTTGTTTCAATTGTACTCTCTTGCAATACTTCATGAAATAGCTCCATGAAACCTGAATACTGAGCGTACAGTTTAATAGGTAACAGCTGCACTGATTCTTACGTTTCAAAGGTGAAAGCAAACTAAGGTCAACGGAGGAAAGGGTAGATTTAATTGCAAGTGCACTCATCCAAAGATGCACACTGAAATTAAGGGAAAGGGAAGATTGGAGAAAACATAAAACAGATCCAAACTAAAATGTTATAATAAAAAGCAAAATAAAGATATGATACATGTCTGGAAAAATGAACCCTGATCCCTCAAAAATCCCTAACACCTTCAAGTCCTAATCATTAATCCCTGCCTGCAAAAATCATAGGCTACAAATTATGGACTATGCATATATTTCAATCCCTGGATCTTTCCAGAGTTGGAGCTAAAAGGCATGAACCAACATCCTTTGAAGTTTAAGCCTAGTTCAGAATGAAGTCCAAGGATTTGGAATAGAGTTGTTTCTTTTCTTTTTTAACAAAAGTCAACATAATAACTGTATGACTCCAGTACCTGTTGTGAGGTCTATCTAACCACTTTGAGGAAGGGCAATCCCTACCCAAGCAGCAGTGAGTGGGAAAAGGACATGAAATTATTACATATTTCTATTTAAGATACATCATAACAGATTTCCCAGAATATTCAACCTTCTCCCCTCAGGTATTTTTATATGTGATAGGCAAACTAATGCTAATTGTTAAACATTGGCATTTATTCCAAAATTGTAACCAAAGTAGCTCTACCCATTTTGGTACCATCTACGTGTTTCTTTTCTATGCATAACAAGGGAGTTGGCGGGGGACAAAATTATCATTGAGACTGTTTGATAGAACTGGGAGGTGTATGTGAACATACCACACCACTTACACTAGATTAATCATGAACTCTTAATTGGCAGTGTTTGCACCAGCCCAACAGTTCAGAGCACAGGGGGAAGCAGTTTGCAAACGTCCGTGCCTAAGGGCAGGGGAGACACTGTCAGATCCCAGTGCTGCAGAAGGCCTGACCAGTTGTAACTCTCCAGTTGCGCCCTCCAGACTGACACCCTTGAGCTAGTCTGTGCAGTTACTGATAGAAATGACAAAGGAAAAAAGGATTTCTCTCCAGAGGGATTCTCTCTTCTTGGCCTCCAGTTTTTCCTCTGTAAAGGCCACCAGGCTCTGGATATTCTGCTAGCTTAATATTCTGGGTAAGGGAAAGGGAAGAGGAAGCAGGCAGAAATGTTTTCTAAATACCCTGTTCCATGCTCATTTGTTGACTAAAATCACCAGGATTCTCTAAGCTGCTAATAAACCTACTACTTTGCAGTTCTTTCTCATTCATCTGGCAAGTCAATGTGCACGTCTGAGATATGCCTGCTGCAGGTTTATCACAGTGCGCACACACACACACAGAGTGCTTTCCCCACTTAAGAACAATGCATTATTCATGTTGACTTCACACTGAGCATACCCAGAATTTGACTGGCTCATCATTCCCAAGGCTCAGATTACTTGGCACGCTCAGCGAGCCCATTCCTTCCCTGCTGGCGCACAGGTCTGAAAAGGTTACAGGGGCTAGAGCTTACAGCAATACAAATAGAGCAAAGCCATGCCTAGGAAACAATACAGTTCTCTCCTTGGAAAAGAAAAATGATCAAACTCTTAAGATGCTTCCAACACTGCCGTCAGCCAGCAGTGCAGAAATTTTACTCCACGTGAGCATCTCTCTCTCAGAAAAGCTAGAATGTTGATACTAACAAACACAGATACACTGCTTTTAAAAGTCCGCTGTGTTTTATTGCTTCCTGAAGACTAATCCATGCCATATTAGCAGTGCACATAACAGCTTCACTACCTGCCACGTGGAAAACTAATGGGCACTGAAAAAGCAGTACAGTAAAAAATGTTCTTCCTGCTGGAGAAAACTTAGTTACTTGCATTAAAATGGCTTTTTGAGCTAATCCAAAAAGGGCGTTCACTGCTGAGACAAGTTTCGGACTGCGCAGACTTGAACTAGCAGGTACTGAGAGGCACGTGGATCAGACAGCAACTGCATCACTGCCTTGCCTGTTTCACAGTGCACAGGGCTCTTCACAGTGAAGGGCAGTCTGTTTGCCACGGCCTGAGCCCCAAAGGTGTGAAAGTGCAGGATTTCCACATGCTAACTCCAGACATGCTCGAAGTTAAAATTTCTGCTTAAATTACAGTGAAACAGATGGGAGTTTAAGCATACGGTGTTAGGGCCCAGAGCGTGCTCCCCCACCTCCTAGGATTTTAGATCTGTGCTCAAGACCAGCTCTCTGGTATGGTGCAGGTGTCTAATCTCATGGTGCAGCTTGCTGTGAAAAAAGAGCTCTTCAAGAAAGAGCAGAGGAAGCCACGGGTGGGTCTTTCCCCCTTTGCTCAGGAGCTACATTTAAGCTCAGGCTCTCACCTGGGTCTCTGCTACACTGCAGGTACGCCTGCACCTGGCATTGTGCTTCCCCACCTGTGAACCTGATCCTGACCCACTTGACTGTGATGCTGAACCCATGACTTTCGGGCTTGACCTTGGACCTGCTTCATCACTACGGACCTCTCTGGCAACCTGGACTCTTGGCTGACCCTCATCACCTGCTCTGCTCTGCTCGCCCTGCTTGGGTCCTGTGGGATGTGCTCTGGGTGGTGAGGACCTGCCTTGCCTGCCTGCCTGGCCCCTGGCTTTCCCTTACAGAGCAGCACCTGCCCTTGCTGCTCCCTGGCATGTTCATATACTCAGGTGAGTCGGAGAACGGCGTTTGGAAAGCAGAGCAACCTGCACAAAACCAACATAAAGCATGGAGATATGTAGGTGCTGTAGCGTTAGCCACAATGAAAGAGTGGAGTGGAAGAACTTGACAAACATCTCTGTCTCACATTCCTTCTTTACAAACACTTGAAGCCTTAGGCACCAAAAACTCATTGTCTTAATTCACATAACATCTCAAAGACAAAGTGTCTTCCGATTCAGTCCTGGCCTTGCCTCTGAGCGTGCAGATCCAGTCTTTCCTCAGCATCCTCCTTCTAAAAACACATTTTTTGTTTAACTTGCACAGAGAGCTTCTCAAATAATTTCAAATAGTTTCCTCACTAGAAAGTGGGGTGGTGATAGAATAATTTTCTTGAAGGAAAGAGCAGTTGGGAAAATAGAAGAACTTGTTTTGAACCGTGATTGATTTTTATCTCTGGCTAAGCTACCATAGGGCTTTAAAGATTATGTAGTGCTATATATTATCTTAGTGTAGTTTTTACCACATTTTTAGTTTCAGCTCTAGGTACCGTATAAGTACCCGATACCCTTACTTTTCTCTAGACTATACTAGGAGAGTTTTGTTATTTGAACTTCTGGGATCACTACATCTTTCTGAGACAAAATTCAAGTCAGGCTGACATGTTGCAAGTTACCTGCGCTGGGCTTTGCCCTGTAAAAAGGCTTTTATGAAATAAATTTTGCCTAAATGTCAACATCATTTTTTTGGCTTATCTAAAAAAATGGTCCAAGGCTTCAACCAGTACTAATTTTCACTGAACTAGGAGGAGAGGAAGTAGAGCCTTTACTGAAGTTGTATATTTGAGTTTTACACAAATGAAAATAAAGTTGAATATGGTTTGTCGGGTTCCCCCTCCCCCCCATTAGGGAATTTAGTTTAAGCTTTTTCACCTCAAGCAGCTATTTATAGAGCTGAATGTGAAAATTGGATTTAGACAAGTATTGTCATCACTCAGAAACTAAAATACTACAAAAAGATCACACATCTTCCCATATTGACTTCAAATTGCATCCTGACTCACTAGAAAGCGAAGGTAAACGCAGAATTTCATACACTACGTACAAATATTAGCATCTTCACTTACTCCTTCCATTTCATCTATTGCTTTAGTCAAAACAGCTATCTCAATTAAATTCAAGACAAACTCTGAAGTTATCAGGTGCTACAATATTTAATAGAAGGTGGGGATGGCAAGTAGGAGAACATAATAGACTTTAGAAAAACTGTGTACACTTATAACATATGCCGACTAGGCAAAATGTCTCAGCTCCACAAAGAGCTCATTGGTGCTTACTAATGTCAAGAAACAAGTACCATAACCCTAGAGCAACGCTGGTACTCTCAAGTCAACAGTAGAGTATAATGAGATTTAATATACAAAATGTTTTTAATATGCTAATGCAGTAGAGTGAAATATATAATTTATTTTCCCACAGATGTCCATCTACTGACATTATCTGCAGTGCGATACAGCTGTTTAATCCAAAATGGAGATGTACCGAACCTAACAGAACAGCTCACGGGAGTTTTAACCACTGACTTCAGAGTGAGGGAGTAAAACAGATGCTAGAACCTTTTGAAAACTGCATCAACAACACTGTGGCATTAAATGCCAACGTATTATCTAGTCTTTGCCAAGGTTGCACGTTTTTTAGGTTTTTTGGAGACATTTTCATTGAAATGGCCAAAATATCCCTCTGCCAAAAAAAAAAAAAAGAAACAAATGATGGACACTGGAAGTTTTTCATCACATTAAGTTAGGCTCAAAACAGTCATCAAACACAGCCTTAAGGTATTCAAAAACTGAGTGAAAGCATTTTGAAGATTCTTGAAAAATATTCTTCTCTGAAGTTGATTTCAGTAGCATCACACCAGAAATGAATTTTGTTCATTGCTTTCCTACCTACTGACAAAGTACTAAACATCCCCACAGAGGATGCAATAAATAAATAATGGCATCACTATTACAAGTAAGCAAGGTACATGGAAATGGAAAAAAAAAAAAAGCAATAACAGTGGTATTTTAACCCCCTAAAAATTCCCTAATGAGCCACATGGAAAAAAAAGATGTACAGTGTTTGCACTGCATTGAGAATAAGTCCATACACTTATTCTTCTTTAAAAGACTTCAGCAATTTGAAAAAGGTTTCCTTACTCTTAAGAAAAAAAAATTAATTCTTTCACATGGCAGATGCCTTGAAAATGCAGCTGCTATATTTGCATTTGCAAATAACGTAGTGTGCGATCGCTGCCTCCAGCCCTTCTGCAAACATACCTAATAAACTAGCATTTCTGTTAATACTTTTCTTCTCAGTTTGAACTTAACTATTATTTTAGTTATCGGGTCCAAATTACTACAAACCAAACTGGAAGAAGAATTGTACTCACCTATTCATGAACTTGTACCGGCGGTGCAGGTAATAGATTTTTCTCCTGGAAGAACAGCAAAAATGAAGCCAGTCGAGAAGAAAACCCATCGTCAGTTACAGTATGAACTAGCAAGGAAGGAAAGGAGATTGAAGATAGAAGCCTGTAAGAGGTGGAGGAAGAGACTAAAAGAGAGATTAACAGAACTGTCACAGGAAGCCACACAAATTCTGGGGGCATTTGAATTGCAGTGAGGTTTTCCCAGTGTCTTCTCTTTTTCTACTTGGCACATGTGGAAGATAGGACCCAAAGACATTTCTATTTCTAAGTCCCTAAACTGTTGCAGGACTTCTATAGGACCAGCTGCAATTATGGAAAAATTAATCTCTATGTATTTCACATCTACTAGTGATTTATGAACACTGTGCTTGATAAAACACAAAGGGAAAGTGGTACCTGATGCTGCAATATGCATAACACATGCAGTGCAACCTGGGACTAATGTTTGCTGCTGGGTAACACCCCTTGAAACAGGTGAAAATATGAACTGCAAAAGCAAATAAAAACGTGCTCGGCATCCACTGCAGGATGAGCGCAATAAGCTGTGCGGGAGTGCACGTGGGAAACCAGTGAGTGGACAAGGGTACGCGAGCAGACGCGTGCTGACGACACGCTGTTGCCTGCTCCCTGACGAGCCTCGCAGAGCTCATGTCGCCCAGGGCAGGGGGAACATCCCTCTAACCACCCCACGTCAGTCCACAGCGGGATGTCCACCTCCTGTCCCCCTCTGCCACCACAACTGCCAGAGTCTGATCCATCGCCTTCAGCAGGGGGAGCACATCTTGGAGAGAGTTAAGACAATCTAAGGGCAGTTATGTGTGGGTTTGGGACTGCACTGCAAAATTTAGGTGCCTGACAAAACTCCAGTTTCCTGGTCTGGGGTCTGACTTTGTCATCCACTGGAGGTTGTTGTTAAATCAAGATGGTTTCTATGTATTCTGAATGTTGATCTCTACCACTTCCGGAAAACAAAGGGTTCACACCACAAGTCTCATTTGTGTATATTTAATATGTGGTAGGAATGCTGTTATTGCATTCAAAGCAATGATGATAGGGAACTTTCTAAAATAAGACAGCACTGATGCTCTAAACTATAGAAAAAAAACAGGTTACTATTCTAGGCTAATTTTCAGAACTTAAAATTTAAATAACATGATATTTTAACAGTTCTTAGTGTCCATATTGTGCTGGTGAAGTGAAATTTTCCAAAGAATTCCATGTTGGTCAAAGTCTCCTTTGGCCAGCTCCTCCACAAGGTAGTGTTATTTCTCTAGCTCCATTCAGCAGGAGCAGAGGAGGGTCAAAGCTAAGTGTTTCTGAAGATGCCATCCTCTTCTTGATCCTGCTTCAAATATTCATAGGTATTCACTGTTTTGGGAACTCTGCTTTGAAACAGCATGGATTTTTTTCCACTGGTATGTGGACCCTGGACAACTCCAACTGAAAATATTGAGAGCTGTAAGCAGTCAGCAGCCCTTAAAGCAAGGGGTCAGACAAGGGCACCTGAAAACAGGCAGCCTAAAATAGTGAACATTTTGTAAAATGTTGGTCTTAGTGTTTAAACAGTGGACAATATTGTTACTCTTAAAGGAAGAGCCTGCCCAGCAGACATCAATAAATTGCCACGGCTTCCTCTAAACTACATGGTAATAATACCTCTCTGTGGATGGGAAAAGAATGAAGCTGTGGTCATGAAGCAGGTTAAGAAACCTTTAGTATTTTTAAGGCTTTCTATATATTCTGAATGGTGTCTACCTTACTATCTGCTGAAAAAAGGATATCAAAAAGGGGACAGCAGATCAGGAAAGAACAAGGTTTTCACAGAGATTAAAATTTAAGTTCTTGCATATGTCTTAATCAGGAAACCTTATCCTTCTACTGGGACAGATTCATCCCACAAAATGTCCAGGAAGTCAAACGAGGTACCGTCTGGGCCCAGTACATTGTTTACGCATGTTAGAGCACTTTTTTTAAAGAATACAATTACCTTGCAATAACTTGAGATACCTTTTACATTTTTCTCTTTAGCATTAAAAGCACAAGAGAGAACAGTTGAAGATTTGCTGCGAAAATGAAAAAAACAAAATACATACAGAATAAGCCTGCAATTTTGTCCTTAATTCATATCCGATTTTCCTAGCAAGTTCTATAAGACCACAGCTTGTCTCACAGAAGAGGCATTTTTCTTCTGTAAGTGAGAAGAAAACAGCAGTAGAAATCCTGCAAAGGACACCAACTCAGTAGTTGCATATTCTGGGTCTAATCCTTTCCTTGCTCAGGAGTAATTCCATTAAAATCAATGGAGTTATGCAACAATAAACCCTGCTAATTGAAAGAAGAATCAAGACCTCTCAGTTCAGTGGGACTGGTCTGTTCAAATGAAGTCTTCATGCTATTTTAACAGTTCTGATAACCAGCAGAGTAAGGCTGATATGCTGTATTCAAAAATCATAGCTCAACATGCAAGCATTATTAAATAAATGATAAAAATAATCTGAAACATGATGTGAAATTAATTTGGTCAACAGCAGCATTTAATACCATTTCTGTATTTCCTCCACAGACAAAAGCATTTACAATCTGAATTCTGTTCTTGTGTTAGACGGGATACTTATTTATAATCTCTATTTCCCTGATTACACACTATACAAGCAGATGATTTACAGGTGCTGAACATACCAGATACGTCCAACAGACATGCACCTTCTGTGCTGCCTTACGTACCTGGATCTTCTTGACCTCCCATTGATTTCAATGAAATGTCCATTTAAAAAACAGCAGCGCACAAGTATGCAGGGGGCTCCAGCAGTGAAGGGGTTAAAGGGCCTAAGAATAGAATACCCCATGAAAACAGCTGCACTGCTACAGCTCACCTTAATTTCATACCAATATTGTATTGAAATTGCAGGCATTAACAAGAAATAGCAATGAATATAGAAAATATAAATGGAGTGCCATAGATACTAAAGATGTGTGGTATCTTAAAGAAGAACTTTTCTGTGTGCATTTGTGTGATTTTTTTTTTACATTATCTTTACAGTAAAGTGTGACTTTGGAGGTTAAGACAAAACAGATCTACACCTACCTGAACGGCATTCTTACATTCATTAGTTCTGCGTATTTGCCCAGGACCTCCCAAGGGGCATGCAGCTTCACAAAGATGATGTCACTGTTTGTTAGAGATGACTGCAACAGAAAAACAAAACAGCCACCAAGGCTTACTTTTTCAAGTAAAATAGAAAAAAAACCCATGGGTAGTGGTCAATATCCATTCTTCTTTTCTTGTGTCACCCCTCCCACTCCCTGCTTCTTCCTCAAGCAGACATAGTTCTATCAGTATTTTGTTGACTTATTTTCCTTCAGGGGGATGCGGTTGCGTGAGAGCCATGCTATGACTCCCTTCTGGCCTGTACACGTCTTTCGGTCGCATGGAAAGGAAGGCATGGAGAGGAGGCTGTCATGCCATTAGGAGTCACCCAAGTGTGGGGTGACAATGAGGTTAGTGTGTAAATCTGGTCTGGAAGCTCGGTCCTGAACTTTAGCTGAAGACAAAATGGAAAGTCTGGATCTGGTTCTGCCAATTGACCTGATTTTCTGCACTCAGCCTGACATAGGAAGTCTCTTTCTGAGTCATATAATGGAGACATATCCGACACCCAAGAAAAGTTTGCCTCACAGTGTGGTCTCATCATAATTGCTTCACATGGACAAATAATGTAGTCCACCAGCTACAGAGCCACAGTCTCCAACTCCCATTCCTCCACCTTCACTGTTGGCCACATGAAATTTGAACATCAGAACTGAAGCCAATAGGGAAAAGAAAATCTGATGCCACCCACAACATAGTAATTGTATAGATTTGCTGCCCAGGAGCCAATAAAGGTTGAAGACCATGGCTGTGGAAGGAACATGATCCCTACCTCTTCTCAACATTACAGTCTTCTTTTCTATGGGTTGTACATAGTGTGGACAGAGCTCTATGTAGGGCATTCATCAGAGCAGCTGTCAGCTAACAGGAGGCTCTTTGACAATGAACAGAGAATGCAGTAAAAAGAGGAAGGGGAGAAATTTAGCTCTATTTGTGCTGGCGGGGGCAGGAAAAATACAGGACAACTAATAGAGATTGTGTTCAAGGGACCTCCTTTATGCATGGAAATGGGTGAAAGGGTACTGGGAAAAGGGAAGTATGAAGATTGAGAAAAATAGACAAGAAAAGGTTAAGTTGGCTGTAGGGATGATTTCCTCGTCTTTTAGAAACTACATTCTATTCAATGCTACCTGCATTAATTCTTAGTTAATACAGCTTATTGAGGACTCTTAAATCTAAAATCGCTTACCTGGACGCTACAGTGACTACGTGCGTAGACTTGTACGTTTTTGATGTCAATTTGATTCTTCCCTCAACTATGGTGATAAACGTTGAACTTATTGAAGTAGCTATTGCATACTTGTGTGCTTAGAGTGGCATTATTACTAGTTTGTGATGTGTGACAGGAATGAAAACTCCAACGCTTAAGATACATACATGCGATTTTCCTTAACACAGGGTAAAAAACAAACAAACAAAGCAAATAGTCACTATGGAGATAACATTTTTTAAACAAAAAGAATATTGGAGTCCTCAAAAACTGGCACAGAGAAATATTTACAGCCAAACTGCTACTGAGCTGGAGGAAAAAATGGATTTAGCACATAACATAATGAAAAAAGTGACTTCCCAGGATCAAAAACTTCAGAAAAAAATCCTGCTGTTCTTTTGCTGATAACTTTCTGCAAAATATTTCAGCATGAAATAACACAAGAGCAACAAATCGCCCCCCAAAGACATGGACTAGAAACAATCAAACTATTCCCTCAAAGCTGAGGTTAAGTCAGCAGTGGACTTGCAATTTTGTTGTATGTGGCTTTACCAAAAAAAAAAAAAACTTGAAAACAAAAACACTTCTAATTAGGTCAAGATGCAGAAGAAAACTGTGGTCCTGACACACCAATAATATTTGAAGAACAGAGGAAATTGATTAAAAATAGTCCCTAAATGTAGCGACGAAAGTTTAGCAGGAAGCTTCAATGTACTTTCCAGCATATTATAATTTGAGCCTTACTAAATATGACAACCACAGTAACATGACTTATGGGTATTCTATTTCCCAAAGGAAAACTATCTTCACTGAATTGGATTTCTTCTATGTTACATTTTTTTTGGAAAGAAATTAGAAAATATTCCAAGTAGTTAACACAAATATAAATACAGATCTTGTAAGACAGAGCTTGTTTTTCTCCAGTTCTACCAATAGAAAATCTAAACAAAATATATTTTGGAGGTTCAGCTGTTTTCTGAAGAAAGAGATAATAATGCTAAATTATGAATACAGAATTTGAGTTCACCAGGGTTTGCTCACGTTAAATGTTTGTAAAGAAAATCACTACGGAACACTGAAAAAAACAAGACAGGAAAGAGAAAAACAAATCTGGACGAAGGAGCAATTGAATGAAATGTCACAGTCTCCTAATCTATGGACAAAATAGTAAATCAAAATACCTGAAAGAAATTATCAAGAACAACATCTTGGTTACAAAAATACTTCAATGAATGGAATCTGCTGAACTCTCTCTGATGGATTAATATTTAGAAACAGTGTCCTTTGGCTTCTAAAGGTTTCTTGGAGGAGAGAAGCATTCTCCTTTGGTAACTGGCTTCTCAGGCTTGGCTCCTTTAATGTTTTGCAGAAGTAAAGTCAATTTCACATTATTTGAACATACAACAAAAATCAATGTAACATTACTTCCCTTTGGAATTTAAATAAAAAGATTATTTACTGGCATGAGCAGTCTGCTAGAAAGTGATGTCTAGATGATGAAGAAATAAAAACTGGCAGAGGAAGAGACAATGAAATAAAATGCTTTGCAGACATACAAATGGAATATGTGCTTGGATTTGACCCTGGACATCAGTGCCTATAGGGTTATCACAATCTGACTGCCAGGCTACCACTGTTCATTGGCCATTTCAAACTGATTCCTTGAGGAGAAATATGCATAGCAAAACAGATTTTCTTCTAGTCAGTAATACCATTCTTGCTAGACCTCAGAGCAGGGCAAACCCTATGTGACAAGAGACTTGACTGCAATCACAGAATAAGTTAGGTTGGAAGGGACCTCTGGAGGTCATCTGGGCCAAGCCCCTGCTTAAAGCAGGGCCAACTTAGGTCAGGTTGCTTAGGGTTTTTCCGGTTGAGTCCTGAATATCTCCACAGATAGAGATTCGATTCTGCAGCTGCTCTGAGCACCCTGCTTACTAAAACTGGTTGGAGAAAAAGATGTTTCCTTTGGAAAAACTGAATTTTTCTTTGCAGACCAAAAACATTGGTTGAAAAATTGTAAGTTTCTACACAGGAACATCCAAAGCATTCAATGGAAAAAAGATATTCCTTTTATAACAATGGTTTTCTTACAGTAAAGTAATTTTTTATTCTTATTAAAAAGCACTAGTAAGATGCACTTAGTTTAATTGAGCCCTGATCTTCAAATCAGGTTTGTATGATGGAACTCAGATCGTCACAGTCTGGGTTACAGATAGTCAATAAACAACGAGTTTCAGTCTTCGGTGCCATCGATCTATTTTTCACAAGCTCTAATCTTTTCCCCCTTCTTTCCTACCTCCCCTCTGTCCTTTTTATGCTGTCTTGGAACTATCATATTATCTAATTCCGGAAAATATTAGATTAATATTTGATAATCACAAGTAGGTGTTTCTATAGTCCATATTTCAACATCAGAGACAACCTTTCTGGCTTCACTCACAGATCACTTTTAATACCATATCACTGTTGCCAGTCCTAGAATATAGTTAGTGCCGCAGGCTCACATATTATAGACTTACCCTTCTGGCAAGGCTGCCTGTCTCTTTCACCATTAAATTTATACAGACATTGATTTTCCAAAGGGGAGGATAAAAATCAACCACAAACTTTACTTAAAAACTAAGCACCATCTTCTTCTCCAGTATAGCTACACAGAGAATGGGAGAGACTAAACCTTGGGCTATTTATGTAACTCCAAAGGTATAAACATCCACTTTGATGAGTTATAGTCATCAGCTAGGCCAAGGAAAATTTATAAAGGGCTGGTTCTTACTTTCCTTTCAAAAGCAGGCACACAGTGGTGTTAACTGCTATTTATGTCCTGGCTATTAAACTCACATGTACTCCTGCAGACAACTAGGTCCTTTTTATGGTAGGATTAAATATATATATATATGTATATATGTGTATATATAAATATATACACATATGCACACACACTCACAGAGTATTGACCTGACTCTGCTCTTTCTGAAGTTAACATTGTTAATCTGAATGGAAGAAAAGTTATGCTGACATTGAACATCTTTGGAAAGCCCACGTTTTGCTGCATTTGCAGTCTGTCTTCTGTGATCAAGGCTAGAGATTACTGTCCTTTGTCAAATGTTCTCTTGAACGCTCTCCTCCACCAGTGAAGATTTTTGTTTTTGTCTATTATGAATATTTTCAAGTTATGTTAAGAAAAAACAATTGTAGGACTCACCGCAATATGTCTTTCAAGCATTTCTTGAGTCTAAAAGTTAAGAAGGTAGAGAAAAGAGATGCACAGCATAAACCTTGAAGAAGGATACAATTGCAGTGTCGCCAATCAAGTGGTGTAGTTGTTTATTCGCCTTAAAGCTACTAGGAAAGCAACTGCAAAAACGTAATGTTCTCATTTATGTAGGCATGTCTATAGGGAAATGGTGTAAAAGAAAAAGAAATCAGGATTTACCATTACCAGGTTTTCCCTATCATCATTTAAGAGGAAAATACTTAAGACCAGGGCGTCTTCTCACCTCTTAAAGCCTTCCTCAGAAAAGAAAAGCGAGAGAAAAAGATCTTGAAACATATCCAGCAACCAGGAAGGCAAAATGCCTACGCTAGCAAGACCCAGCAAGGCAGCTTAAAAAAACAGATGGGAATAGGGCTATAATTACTGACAAATATAGTTTACATTTGTTAAACCACCATGCAGGGAAAACCAGAAGAGGAGAGAATATCAAAGTCCTTCCTCCAGTAACAATTATCTCTAAGTATAACTGAGTTCAATGGCAGGTCTCAGTGCAGTGTAGTAAACAGTCACTGCTACAAGTCTCACTGTTTTTGAAAATTACTCTTTTACGT